TATCTCGAAAATCAAGCCTGGGAGAGAAAAATTTTTCAGACAAAAGTTTTCGGACTTCGAGGGGGACATAAGATGATAACATTGGTTTGACCCTGAGTGGCGTTGTCAAGGTCAGGACAAGGTCACTTTGAATTTTTTAAATGGAACCCCAATTTTTCATTACATGTTCTTATAGCACGCCTCGAGAACTTTCCAAAACACATAAATAAAATATTTTTTAATAAAATTAATCTTGAGTTATGAAGCTTGAAAGTTGGAGTACTGTTGGCATTAGCATCATTCAAGGTGTCCAAACACTAGCTAAACCTTTTGAATGTTGTTGGCCTTTATCAATGTCATGATCCTGAACAACATTCAAAAAATTTTAGCTAGTGTTTGGACACCTTGGATAATGCTAATGCCGACAGTACTCCAACTTTCAAGCTTCATAACTCAAGATTATTTCATAAAAAAATATTTTATTTATGTGTTTTGGAAAGTTCTCGAGACGTGCTATAAGAACATGCAATGAAAAATTGGGGGTTCCATTTAAAAAATTCAAAGTGACCTTGTCCTGACCTTGACGACGTCACTCAGAGTCCAAACCAATGTTATCATCTTATGTCCCCCTCAAAGTCCGAAAACTTTTGTCTGAAACATTTTTTTGTAGCTTGCGTATTTTAGAAGATATTTGGATCCGTCGATTAAAATGACTCACCCTGTATATATATATATATAAATCAAATTTTGTGAAATGCATGGGATTATATTACGCGCGCGCGTGTGTGTGTCTCACATAATTAATCAATTTATCAAAAAGATCTATGCAATTTCGGCAAATTGTTTGTGTAATATAATCCCATGCATTTCACAAAATTTGATTTGTTCGTTTGACTCTTTTGAGTGCGTAACTGACACTCCTTAATTTGTCACTGACGTACGTTAATATTTCCGCTGAACCCCCTTCAATGTGGTCCTCGTTCGTTAAAAGAACACACATTAATTGCTATTGAAATCTGCCACTGAGCGATCAGTGATAAGTCTTAATGCGCAATTATGCAGTCCTAATACCCTTACACCAACGCTCGACAGGACCGTCCGCTATCCTCGCGAGCGGCATAAATTAGACCGCTTTAGGGACGACAGCGACTTGTCAAAGCACGCACACATACATACACACACATGCACATACACGTCGGCGCTTACCTTATTTAAATTGCCGAAGCCAAGTCGTTGAATGGCTTGAGCCTTCCAGTCCGGAAGCGGCGGATTGAAGGTGATCCCGGAAGGCGGTGCGGAAGTCTTGAGAACGCCAAGGGGTAGCGTAACCAGAACGGCGTCCGCTTTATAAACGGTGTGATTTGTGTGCGGATTGCGAGAGGGTGCGGCCCATACTTCTACCCCATTTGGCCCGTATCGCACCGCTCTGGCAGCTATGTTATGTCGAATATCAAGTCCTTCCGAGAGAGCAACAGGTACGCAAGAATAACCGTTGCGAACTGCAAGATAAAAGGGGTAAAAAAGCGGATCAGTATTTGGATTTATTGTAATATCGTACTGCATTGAAAAAGATAAAGAAAGATTTTTACAATGTATAAACTATATATATATAATATATTATATACACTCATACACGCGTATACGCGATAGCGAGGATATCACGGAGGGCGTAATAAGAGGAGAATTCTATCCGCGATCATTCGGAAAGGCGAAAATACCATTCGGAAGGACAGTCATGTAAGAGTACAAGATGATGGGAGGGGGAGGGGAGGGGCGCATTTAACAAACTGGGTCGTTGCGTTAAAACGGCGTCTACAATGGGCAGTGGCAGTAATAGATTAGGGAGTAACACGTCGGAGTAAGCTGGTTTTTTGGTGTAATAAAGCGTAGAATAAAGCGGCATCTGCAATGGGCAGTAGCGGTAATAGATTAGGAGTAACACATCGAAGTAAGCTGGTTTTTCGGTGTAATAGGGCGTAGAATAAGTCCGTAAGCGAAATAGTTGAAATCCATTTCCTACGGCTACTTTTTTACTGTCAGCCAATGAGAGCTCAGCAGTAACATGAAACGCGCGCAATAGGAATCGATGCAATTTTCACATTGATTTATTATAACCTTTACTTATATGTCATTGTAGATACTCGGAGACATAAGGAGACTTTAATCCTATAGTTTACTCCTAACGCTTACTCTTTAATCCATTGCAACTACTATTGTAGACGCCCCTTAAAGCGGTAAAGGTTATAATAAACCAATGTGAAAATTCAAAATTGCATCAGTTCTTATTGCGCGCGTTTCGTGTTACTGCTGAGCTCTCATTGGCTGAAGGTAAAAAAGTAGCCGTAGGAAATGGATTTCAACTATTTCGCTTACGGACTTACTCTACGCTCTATTACACCAAAAAATCAGCTTACTCCGACGTGTTACTCCTTAATCTATTACTGCCACTGCCAATTGTAGACGCCGCTTTATAGTTTCGTTCTACATGTTCCTTTGATTTTGAAGATACGGCAATATGCTGAATTGGCGTATACCCACGGCACGTATGTACATATGCCCCGATGTATGTCGAGGGAAGTAGATCGAATCAAAAGGCTCACGTTCGTTCATATACGTTCGTCGTATCAGAAGGCCTTCCCTCGTGAACGTAAATATCCGCTCCGCGCGGCAATGTTATACTGGATGCAATACGGGCCCCATTATGACTTAATTGGATATTTCGCGTAACGTGCGCTTAAATCAGGGCACCTGACGCGGACCTAAATTCTCGTAAGCACATTCGAACCCCATAACATCGAGGCGTGTACTAATAATGATACACAGGCGTCTCCACTTAGGGGGTTAATTATGTTGATGGCTACCACGGCGCTAACAAGCACTCTCCTATCGGCGTTGCATCCCATTTCAGAAATTTAAATTTACGCGTGCGCTATGTCAGGCTGAAAGCACGGGCTAATTTAAATTAGCACGTTTCGGGAGTGGGGGAGGGGAGTGGGCCCATGCCTGTGCATTATCGCGATATTTCGAACGGCGCGGAATGCCCCTTCGAGGGACTGACGCGGGTACATATTGATTACGCGTAACGTGTCGAACGGCCACGAGATACGATCGACGAAATGTTGCCGCAACCTTGGCCGGCAGCTAATGATCAGTGCGTTCTATCGGGCTTTTCGTTCATGGCGCTGCCATTACCTCCGGCCGGAGGCTGTCGATGTTAACTGGGCCGGAATCGATAAATCATGACACGTACGGCGTCGTCGTCGTCAAAAATTTATGCCGATGCCATAGTAAACGTAACCGGAAATGTTCCCGAATGCCGTACCGTGTGCGCGACAGCTAATGACAAACCGCGCGATGAATTAGTCGTTACATCGTTCTCGCATCGATCTCCCACCGTCTGCCTCGTTGAACGAATTAACGTTGGACGTTGGCTGCAAGAAAATATTTTGCATGTTCGATGCAACTGTAAAAATCAATTTTAATAAAGCCGTATAAGGAAATATCTATTGAAATATGAAATATTCCTGAATTGTAAAAAGATTGATGCGACCCGCGCATAAATTGCATAGATTTAATTACATATATATTATTTAAAAAATTTGTATTTATTCAATTCAGAATTATTAAAATTTTCTCCGAAGATAATTAAAATGATAGAAAAACTGTTTCCCACTGTTGTATTTTCTTCACTCGGTACGCGACGCGCGGTAGTGTTAATATTAAGATTGAGAAACAAATATTTATTACGCTACTTTGCAGGAGCGCAGATTGGGTTAATTCAATTGGATACTCGATTATCGCGGGCTCTCGCTCGACATGCTCAACTGTATCTGACGTTGATTACAGAAACCGTTCATAATAAGCGAGAGAATATTCAACAGAGCCGCTCCGCCGGGGAACGATTCGAATTCACGAAAATTATGGTAAGTCGGGTCTCTCTGCCACTAACTTACAGGAGAATGGGAAATTAATTCCTCGCCGCGCGAGGATGGACCCGCGATCCGAAATCGTTAATGGAGAGGATAAACTGATCCATTAATCTCGCTTCTTCTGATCGTACGTCAAGCGTGCGGAGGAACCCGACGACGGCGCGCGGCGCCTCCGTGCGGGGAGTGAAAGAGAGGGAGAAAAAGCGAATGGTGAAGAGGGCTCTTTGAATGCCGGAAGTTTTTCCCTCCGACGAAGAAGATGACTATCCTCGCGGCTGAGCGAGCCGCGCTCTCGCACGGAAACGCGTTACGGCGAGCCAACTTTCGTCGGGACAAGGGAAAGGCAAATATTTAGAGGGCAGTCTAGCATAGGTAGCCGAGATCCCGTTCCGCCGTAGGGTGGAACAAACAACGACCGGGAAAGGCTTCCCCTGCCGTGACAGAGAGAAAAGGGGATACAACCCGGGCAAATCCCGGTGCGCGGTGAAGAAGATGCGGGACTCGCCGGCCGGCGCCGCCGTTTCGAAGTGCCCTTCTCCGGGGCACCTTTTCTCGTTCTATCTCGACCATCGGCCCCGTATACGCCACCCTCTCGCCCGCGTGTCTTGTCTTCCGTTTGATCTTTGCTCGCAGTATTTTTTGACGGCGAGTCGAACAATTTGTATGCCGCGGTGGTTTTCAATTTACATTTAAATTGGTTGCTTATGGCGTTCTGTCGTCTCGACGGGAGTCGAACCGAGAAGGCGGCGGAGAGGAGGAGAACCGCCGCACAGCCGCCGCCGCCGCCGCCGCCGCCGCCGCTGCTGCGCCGCCGTTGCACGGCGTTGGGGAACAGTCAAATACTGAAACGGCCTCGCGAACGTGTGGCGGAACTCTTGCCGGGTTCAATGTACCGGCGCCGGTGCTTTTTTGCCGGATACGAGCGCCCGCGAGAGAGGAGCGCGAGCGAGCGAGCGAGCGAGCGAGAGGAAAAGCGAGGGAAGAAGCGAGAGAGAAGGAAGGAGAGAGAGAGTCCCGCCGCGCGATGCTTTTCTTGTTCACCCATCCGTTATATCAACATTCCGAATCGCGACTCCCGAAGGGGTATATAATATACGGCAGAATGAGCGAGCGCGAGAAAGGACGAGAGAGAGAGAGAGAGAGAGAGAGAGAGAGGGAGAGAGAGAGTCGTTTCGTCCGCTTCCGCGCCGCGAAATTTCGGAAGTTCGGCCAAGCGACACCTCCGCGTTTTCTCGTTCTCGGAATAGGATCATCCTTTGACGATTACGGTGGAACGAGTTCGTCGATCGGTAGAGAGAGAGAGAGAGAGAGTGCAGCTCTGTGAGGGAGCAAACTCGGAAAGATGCAATATTCTCATATGTCAAATTATCGAACGCGATACGAGAGTCCCCTTTGGAGGCCTTTTTCTGATCTCCGGTGTACGTAGAATCTCGTTTTGAAATCTGACTGCTTCGAGTGCCCTTTCCGCGATCGCTCGACACGGCCCGACAGATTAGATTTACGCCAGGAGTCTCGAAAAACTCCCTTCCCTCTCCGCCTCCCCCCCCCCCGACGGCGGAGAAGTTTACCATTTGAATGTAAACATAATGAAGCGTATACAGACGCGCGATATAAATGCGCCGGAAAGTACGCAGGGTGAAATTCGATACAAGAGTCGTGAGAGCTGATTTTTTTTTATTCCCTTTCAATCTCGCACGTCTCGCGAAAGAGGTTCGCGCGCGCGCGCGCGGAGCGCTTTTCTTGCTCACCCATCCGTTATATCAACATTCTAAATCGCAAGTCCCGGAGGTATACAACGCGCAGCTAAAGGCAACTGTTGATACCTTATAGATTGGAAACTTCGGTGGTGCGAGGTAACGCGGAGGTTTTCACCCCCTTAGCTTCGTGCATCTCGCCCGAACGGGCCATACATCACTTTATTATCGTGCTGTAATTGTATTTTTTTTTTTTTTCAAACATACCCCCGCTGCATCTCGCATCGTGATTCGACGTGCAATAATTCTTGCTATCGTTTCATCGATACGCGTCTCTGCCGGTAATAATAATCTATGGGCTAAACCGTGTTGCGCTCATTGTTTTATTGAAATGCGCTGCGAGACGAGGTTAGATCGCGCCAATGCGAGGGAACGCGCGGCACGACGATAAAGAATAGAGTTCGCGCAAAAGTTCAGGCTCAGTAACTCCTGCAGTAAAATTTCATTTCGAAGTTCAAAGGAAGCTACCCATTGCTTATTGATTATTTTCTTAAATGCGTTTGCATAACTTAAAATTTTCCTTTGCCTGGGTGTAAAGTTATCCCTGCTGAAGCAACCTGATTTCACTGCACATTTTACGTGTAAGTGTAGTAGTAGCAGAGTAACTATAATTTAAGAACGTCTCACACAGATGTCTGCGTCCCGGCAGGAGAAAAAAAACTTAATAACTTGATTCGAGTCGTGAGAAATGATATTTATCGTTGTATGCAATATATGTATGCGGATACGAAATTTTATTACGGATAATGAAGTATTAATGTAACAGCACGTCGCATTCGATAATTAAGCGAGTTATGCAAGAAGTAGCATAAATAT